ATATATATTTGGTGTGGTTCAGTCTTATTTATATCAGTTTTCACATTATTGTACAAAAACAACTTTTGACCCTCTGCAACGTTATTATCATCCACCACCACTAAAGGCAGGTGACCATGAACCTTTCTGTTCTGTCTGTGTTAGCAAAACATCTTATGAACCATTGATGGGTTTAACTGAAAATCTCAGAAAACAAACAGACAACATTACAACTGATTATTTCTTCTGAATCAAATCAACTGAAATTAGCAGCTACTGCTAATAAACCTTAGCAAACACAAAATGAGCTATAATTCTGTAATTTTTACAGATATTCAGCTAAATAGGTCTGGGGTTACTTACATCATGTACTCTGAAGGCTAATGTATGATGAAACATCCTTTAATAACTTTGGCTACGCAGTGGATGATTTGCAATTTGTCAATGAAGTTTATTTTTAGTATAAATTTAAAATGTCAAAGTTGCAATTCAGGTTGGACCAACTGAAAAGTGGTAAAGAAAAATTCAGAAATGTTTTTTTTCTACACAGATGTAGTTGTTGTAGTTATCAGCATTTGTATGCGTTTGAGCTATTTTAACTTTGAATGGAAAATTAAAGATTATTGTTTCTCTGATCTTTAGTAGCTTTGTAGTAGTTTTGTACTCTTTTTTTACATCTTTATTTTTCCACTCTTGAAAGTGGAAAGTCCAAARCGTTCCTCTTAAAACAAAAATGCACCCATAAATAATTTCTAAATAAATAGRATTTATGGTGACTGGGGATGGATAAARAACCTATAAGAGCAGGGGCCTCTTAAGTGGACCCATTGCTCTCCCCAAAACAATTGAGCTTTAATCAAACCTTCGCATCCCTCYGAGGAAGGACCCAAAGTCAGAAATGCTCAGTGATCTTGGCGTCTCAGGATCCATAAAAGGGTCCCCAAGAATTCTYCTCCTTTGCTCAGAGCCAGGCAGTGGCCTCAGTAGTGCATWGAGGTCTCTAATTCAATGCCACAGGCATCACACAGACCAGTGTCATGGAGTCCCATCACCATTTTGTGGCAACTGAGCAGGTTGTGCCCAGTTAGGACTCCAACCAGCATACTTAGTTTTCCTAAACCTAAGATTTGGGACATTTATCAGYTCACATGCCTKTCTACAGTCCRTCAGCTCCCTCCAGTGGATTAAGTGTTGACGTCTAATCCAGGCCTGTAGGGCAGTCCTACAGACTGCTGTTGAGGTACCTACAACAGGCTCTGGTCCTTTGAAGTGAGCCTGACTGCCAGCTTTTGCAAGGTCATCAGCTTTCTCGTTACCATTAATGCCAGTATGTCCTGGTACCCATTTAACAGTAACACTGTTATCTCTCSACAGTTGGATGACTGCTTCGGCACACTCCCAAGCYAGTAAWGATGTAAAGTGTGGYCCTTGGAAAGCTCCAATATCACCTTTGCTATCTGTTAGGATATATCCTTCTGTGTACACTGAAGGTCTTTAAGAGATGCCACACACTGGTGGATTGCATGTATCTCAGCTTGAGATACAGTTGCAAAACCAACTAGTGAGTATTTGTACTCTCTTTCACTATGGTTGTGCAAAATCAGCACCCCTGCATCTACTGACCCCTTCAGAAAGGATCCATCTGTAAAACAGTAGAAATGATTGGAGGATCTGTCCATCGTAGAGAGGTTATTCCAGGCAGATCTATCTTCAATACCTGCCTTAAAACTTTGCGTAAACATAGGGAYGGGTTTTGCTGTTTTAGTGCATGAAGATCAGTGATTGGTCCACAGGGAGGTCCAGCCTTGGCCATAAATATCAAAGTAACATCCTCCTGGATGCCAGGACCCAAAGTTTCCTGGCAAATGATTGGCTGGAAGATGAAATACGCAGTTCTAATGGGTTTAATGCAGAGGCTGATCTGTRTAAGCACCAACAAAAAAGTTTCTTATCAGCTGGCTTTTCTCCTAATGGGTTCGATAACTGAAGTCTTCAAGAGTCCGTTAAGTAGATAAACAAAACAACTCTTTAGATGTTTTGGAGTTGAAGATAAGCCAAAAAGACAGCAACTACAAAAAAGAAAAGAAAAAAAACTTGGAGACTTTCCTCCACAGTACCTTTCCTTCAGAGTTGGTCCAGGTGATACTGGGCGTGGGGTAGCCTCTGACATGGCAGCTCAGTTCAACAGTCTTCTCAGAAGTTTTTATATCGTCTGAAGGTTTATCTTTTATTTCCGGTGGTCCTGCAGGAAGAGATACAAGAAGCAACCTGATTCCCATTCAGTCACAAAAAATAAAAATGAAAAAAAAAAATCAAGACTTCTAAGTGACTAAAAGATATCTCACCCCTGACGTGAACACGCAGCGAGCTTCTGGTTTCCATTCCATCGATCTCAGGAACAGACACCACACAAACATATGTCCCTGCGGCGTCAAATGTTGCACTCTTCAGGATTAAAGTGTGGCCTTTAGAAATCTTTTGTTCATTCTGCGCACAATGACAAACAATAAAAGATTCAATCCTTCAACTTTTATAAATAAAAGATGTTCATCAGCAGTCAGCTTGATGGTGCGAGACAATGGCCAGGTGCTGTTTTTATATCTGCACATAACCAATGAGCATTACCTTAAACCAGATGGTCTCCGTGGAGAGAGAAGACAGGGCGTTGCAAGTCACCTTTACCTCCTTCCCGCTGTCCACCACAATGGTTTCTGAAGGTTTTATAGCAGCAGGATCAAGATCTGTGTAAACAGAGAAACAAGGGAAAACAGTCAAAAAATAAAAAGGTGATTTTTTTTTTTTTTTTGTTACAAATGACATCAAAGTGAAGTCCTTACAGTGGACGAACACTGTGGTGTTTCCTGAGATCGCCTCATAAGTCTCTATGTCCATTAACGTGCACTCATATTTTCCGCTGTTTAGACGGGTAACATTTTTCAGCACCACCAAATCATTGTCCCAAGTCTCTTCACTCTACAAAACACAGCAACAATATTAATAAATTCATCCCTGGGATAAATAATGGTATTAACATGTTTAAATTAAATAGAAACAAAAAAAATACAATTTTAAGCCAAAGATCTGCCACACATCAACAGGAAAATGAGATTGTAAATGCAAGTTCGTTTATAAAAGGACTGATTTTCTCACTTTTGTGTGCTTGATGGTGATGACGGAAGGAGAATTCCCGTTGCCTTTGCAGCGAAGCTTAACCGTGTCCCCCTCTTTGATTTTACCCTTTGGAGATTCAACCCAAAGGGTTGCAACGGTGGAAGGATCTGAAACAGAATCAGGCATGTCAAACAAATCCAATAACTTTCTTTTTGTTTTTCATTTCTTTTTTCGTAAGAAAGCTTTAAAAATTAAATCATAGCCAAATAAAAAATCTCCAAAAATTCTGGTAAAACTGACAGAACAGACAAATGCATTGTTTTAGTCTTCCTGCTTTTTATTCCTTGAATCTGCAATTAAACTTTTCCTCAACACATTATTCATGTGTCAGAGCAKCTAACTAAATATGTGAATTAAAAACCTAACCATGTTTTTATAAGTATAGCACAGATTTTATAAAAAAAAAAGCTAGCAATGCTGTCCAAAGAACTCTCTTCTTCAGAAACTGTTTAGAAAAAATCCAGACCCTTTCTAAAATGATTACAATAACATCGTAACCAATGAGCTTAAATTTAAACAAATAAGATTAATGGAGTTAGAAAAGTGGAGTCTGTTTTGTTGCAAAAGGCTGTCAAAACAAGAGCTATCAAAGTAAGTTTGTGGTGTTCTTTGTTCATTTTTAATAATAAAAAAATGGGCTTTAGCTTTTAATTAACTGAAGTTGTGGGAGCTATTCTTCATTATAACCATAAGGGATTATATTTTTCCAAACAAATACTTTGTAAAGCTTCCAGCACTTAAGCACTGATCCAAACCACTGTTACTGTTAGGTTGTTGCAAAATTAACTCATTCAGGATCAAATTTTTAGTGGATTTCTGTTGCTTTGCAAACACATGGAGACAAAAAAAAATCACTTTTCCTTTTTAATGTGGAAGATGTTGAGGCACAGATGGAATCTAAATCCATTACCATTACAGTGAACTAAAAATAAATAGAATACAAGCCAGGCAGTTGTGAACTTCATATTTATAAAAAATAAAATAATAAAAAAAACTCACTCAAGACAGTGATGTTAATAGTTGATGTTTCGGTCATGATTGTGGCACCAGGAACAAAGTAGGTGACCTCGCAATGGAAAGTAGCATCTTTGTCCTCCGCCTGCACCTTCAGACTCAGCTCACTCTTCACAGAGATCAAACCGCTCGACTCAAAGGTAGGGAAAGACACCACATCCACAACTGGGACACACAAAAACCATTAGCAAAGATAAAACCTAACCCAAATCCAACACTGTGTTCATTTTCAAACCAGCAAATTCCTTTTTGAAGAACAGAACATGTTTTGATTTATTATTTTTTTCAAGGAATACTGTTTCATTGTAGGAATACTTTTCTCTAAAAAAAAATCATTGTTTTAGCACAGCAGCATTTTTTATCTACATAAGGGCTATTGAACTAAATTCCTCAGTGGGTCCGCAGTAAAGGCTGCTTTATGCTTCAAGTCACACGTCCCCCTGCTGAGTGACAAAAAAATTGCGTAACTTCCATCTTCTTGACTGCTGCTATCCCCCAGTGACAGCAGCCGTGTGCATTGCCCCCAGTCAGAACTCTGCAACATGGACCTTGCGACTGACAATGTGTGATTGGTCACACAATCACCGACCCGCTGTCTCACATAGTACTGTATAAGACAAACATTATTCAGTGCTAACAGCTGAGGGGTTGGACATTCAGCGAGTGGAGTGCAGGAGGTCCAGGGGGATGGTGCCCAATTACGTTAGGAGAAACACTACATTATGTAAAAGGGCAAGTGTTATCTTTTACCATTTAAATTGGTATACATTGTGATGCACTGAATCATAAATTAGAATTTAAAACAGATTTAAATATATATTTTCTATTATATGAAGTAGACAGATTTATGTATTTATTTATTTGTTTTTCATTCATCAGCAGGCCTGACTGAAGTCACCTGCAGATCAAATGTGGCCCGCGGGCTGCCAGTTAAATAGATTGATGTAGGTATGTCTGTGGTTTTTCTCCAAGTTTTGTTGTAGACTGCATATATGAAAAAAATAATAATATGATTGTAACAATGGAAAAAAAGGGTGTGTGTGTACCACAAAAGTATAAATATCAGTTTAACCAAATCAAGCTCAAGCTAAACTGTGCAGCTCAGCRCAGGAGCTGCTTTAGTTCTGGCTCACCATTTGGAATTCTGCGCAGCGGCACGTTGTTCTTGTACCAAGTGATGTTCGGTTTGGGGTATCCGTTTCTCACCTCACAAGTGCCAATCTGAGTAATAAAAAAATTCAAAAGAGAAAGTCAGAAAATTTAACTTGACTTGTCAACCTTTTACAGTCTTTGTTTTTAAAGACTTGATTACCTTTGATGGGTTGTCTTCGTTGACAGAGATAGCATTTTGAACACCCTCTATGGTGGGAAGGCCAGGTTTTGCTGTGGCAAGATAAAAAAGCAATTTAACATGCAACAAAAGAGGATTTTTTGTTTGTTTGTTTGCTTATTTGTTCATTTAGGATTATTTTGAGTTGTGGTAAAAACCGAGCTGTCAAAATACTGTAMAAGTGTCAAAATCCATGAAAATAAGACAAAAAAGAATTTTAGTAACCAGAACACTGACGATTTCAAAGATAAATCTCTTTTTTAGCCAGTCACATTAGTTCTGTTATTTAAAATATTGTGGAAGGGGACCAACAAATTAATCTGCAAATGTATTGTTATTGTTAATCTCACAGCAGTTGTGTCAGCGATCAGACTACAGTGAACCTCACCAAACACCCTCAGCTTTGTTCTTCCATCTGCGGACCCATCTTCCTGGTCTATGACAGCTTTAACCAAACAGATGAACTCCACATCGTCTTTCAGCTGCACCTTTGTGATGGTCAGAACCGCTTCTCCGGTGGTGTGATTCATGTTGATCCGGTTTGTGTACGGAGTGTTTTTGCTTGCAGCTGTCACCATGCTGTCGTGGTACCAGATCAGCTGCCTTTCTCCAGAACCTGGCACCTACAGRTTCACACATCAGAGCGTCACATTTACACAAAGGTTTCAGCATTCTGGGTTTGTGTTCTCGAGGACTGATGAAACTCACATAAAACCACTCCAGGACTGTGCCACCGATGCCGTCGTCCGATGTGTACTTGCAGGTGATCTGAGCCGTTTCTCCCAGGAACACCTCCACTTTCTCCTCCATGGTTACCTCAACAGCAGCCCAGGCTGAAAGATGAAGAATGAACAAGGTCGATGGTTTACTTCAGTGCTTTTTGATTCTGCTAAACCCAMAAACTGAAAAAGAAACAGCCTTTTTTGATCAAATTAGGTTTAAACATGTTTCATATTACAGAAGGAAGGTTGCAATATTTTCCCTTCATTAGGAGGTGATAAAATATTATTTGCCTTTTAACTTTGGTATTACTATTTCCCGTTTTACTTTTTTCAGTATTTGTGTAAAACAAGCTTTTGTCCCCATTATATTTATAAACCTCTATTTCAGTAGTATCACTTAGGACATCAAAATGCACACGGACAGAAATATGTGAGTAAAGTGTTACAACCCAAGCAGTACAAATACTGCATCAGATCTATATTTTGCATGTCAAAGCATGATGATTTCCAAATGTTTTGTTTAAAGGTCTTTTTATTGTTGTTGTTGTTGTTGTTGTTGTTGTTGTTGTTGTTGTTGTCGTTGTTAGATCCCCATTAGTTTCAACCAGAGCGGACTCTTCCTGGGGTCCACACCAACAAAACTTAAAAACACTTTAAAACAAAATAACCAGTACAACTCAAACAAATATTCAAATAAAAGAAAAGAAATCTGTACAAAAAGACAGAAAARGACAACCATTACACCAAAAATCCTTATTTTTAGTGTTGCATGACAACATCCACACTTATGGTAAGTTTTGGGGTGTGGGAGGAAACCAAAAAAGAAAAAAAAACACTCCTGTATGAGAAGAACATGCTAATTTTAGATCAGGGATGGGCAACTGGCGGCCCGTGGGCCACATCCAGCCTGCGGGTGACTTCCATCCAGTGATGACCACCCCAAATAATTTTTTCTAAACATAAATCAAGCACKTGCTCCTGGATTTATCCTTTTAAATTACACAAACGTATAAAAGTGTATCAGTGGCACTGAATTGTTTGTAATAACATTTGCCACTAGACGTTGCCTCTTGAAATAACCAGTAATCCTCTCAACACTCTTAAAAAATATATTTCTGGCCTGAAAGATCCCTTTTTTTTCTTTCTAAACTACTACACCCTGAGCAAACAAAAGCTGACTATGTAAAAAGAGAAACACAGATTCAGATTTTTTTTTAGCTGACAAATTACTTCAATAATTCCTGTGTGAGATTTCCAATGTCCTCATATAGTCAGTATTAACCAATCAGCAGCTGCCTCGTATGAACGCAGTGTTAACAACTCGTAAGAATCATCTCATAATCCAGACCTGAGTTAAGTTCTGAGACACTGCATATCCAAAAAAGCCCCGGAGGTTTATAAAAATTACATTTATAAAAACTAAAAGAAGATGGAAGAAAGTCGTGTTGGGTGAAAGCGAAGACAGAGATGCTATGACAGGAATGAGAAGCCCACCCATGACCACATTAATGTGCTGCATTCCAACATGTCACCCTCTCACAGGAAGAAAGGCTCGATTTACACGCAGCACAGAAGCCCCTCTGTTCCTTCCTGATCTATCTGTGAGAAACCAGGGGTTTCCCCCTCGAGGGTCTATCAAAGTGACACATCCTGCTGGTTTAATGGAGGGACCCTCCGTTTTACGCTCTGCCCTGTGGGGTTTAGGACGCCACGCAGAGACAGAGCTTCCCGGGGCGTTTAGTTGTAAATTTCACACCGGGCCATGTTTTCAACGAAACAAACACCGCCTCCAGTTTTCTCAGCCCTGTTCGAGTTACCTCGCCTTTTTTTTTGTGTTTCCCCACCTGCCTCTCACTCTGCAGCGCTCTGCTGTTTACGCCTGACTAATGGAGCTGGACGGATGCTTTCCTGTTATCCAATTAGTTTGTACGACGCAGACGTTTCCTGGCCATTAGCGGTGGGAAGGACACCGGTTCGCTTGCAGCATCCCCATCCTCCCGTCGCATCCACCTGGAAACTTAGAAAACCTGCTGTAATTACTTAAGACTGAACATCTCAGAGACGTTTCCTTCATCCCATCTGACAGCTGACAGATACATCACGTCTCATCTGTAACACGACCTGTATATATCCCTGCGCTGCAGCCATCAGAGGCACCGCGCTGCCTCCGATTGATTTCTGATGATGTGAGGGCACACTCTGGGGTTCCTGCACAYTGAATCAAAGTGAGACTGAAAGAACAAAAGAAGAAAGAAAGATGAGCTCTCTAGAGCCCATTCAGATAAATTTGGTGGACAGCTACAAAGCATTTAAAATGCATTCATTTTAAAATTGAAAGTTTAATTTTTAATTCAAAGTTAAATTGCTGTGGTTGTCCATGGTCCTATTGCAGGAGCATGCCCACGTTTTAACTGAGAACAATCTGTTGATCTGACCCGAGGACTCTCAGCTACTACCAGACCACACTGTAGCAGCAGAAACAGCAGAATGCAAACAGCGGCAAAATGAAGACGTGTCTTGCGTAAAACCAGACCAACCCCCCAACCCCACACCATTTGCTCATCTGCTCTCTGGCATGGAGCCCAGACCACAGATGGACATCAGTGAGGAAGAGAAGAGGACGTCCACCTTCAGCACATTAACTTCCATTTAAATCAAATTACAGTCCGGAGCTCTGATTAATGTGAAAGGGACAGCAGCTCAGGAGGGGAGTGAGCTAACAACATTACTGCTCCCCTAATGTTTTGTTTGTTTGTTTGTTTGTTTGATTCCAGATTATGAAAACAAATATGTTTAGTGTGTTTACTATCTTCCAAAATTCATAAATCAGCCTTAATTTTTTTTTATAAAACCTCCAGTGTGTCTCATTATCAAAACTAAAAAAAGAAAAAAAAACTGAAACTCTCTCAACTTTGATATTGATCCAGCTGCAGTGTTTATGTTTCCTCTTGTTTATGTGTCTTGCAGTAGCATATTTTAGGAATAAATCTGTGAATTTTGTGATTATCAAATTAATTTTATGAAGATTTGTATTTGTTGTGAGCATTCTTTGCAAAAACCTAAAACTAATCTAGAATTAAGACAGTACATCCTGTTTTCTTTTCATTCAGAAGCTGCACAATCCTGAAACAAATTACACTTGGAATTTAATTAAAATATTTCATCCTCGCTGCTGTTCTGACCTTCACATTCTGTGCGTTTAGTTTCCTAGAAAAGTTGTGATATTTGATTTTCTGAGTCATGCCTAACTACTTTTTCTGATAAATGTATCACTTTAGAGCAGAGGGGAAATCCCTGTTTGGACATGCTGTAAAAAAAACATATTTTCTGAGGAAAGTCAAAGACCCCTGCCCCTGCTGGTGCAGCAAGAGTTGTTTTCAGGCTGCTGACTTAACAGTCTAAGAATCTTGTTCATGTAGAAATAAAGACATTTATAACAAAGTGCTCAGGGTGTCTGAGTCCAGACTTTTGACAGTCAGTCAAAAACACAATGATTCAGGCAGAAAAGATTGGTATCTAAACAAATACTTTAAAAATAGTATTTTAGAGAAAATATTTTCTTTTTCAAACTTTTTCCTGCTAATTGAAGAAGCTGCAAATATCAGAACGATTATGTACGAAACTTCTTTCCCCATTTGCTAAAAAAAACTCAAGTCAAAAAAAAAACAGTAAACTTGGCCAGACTTTAAAAACAAATAACCAAAAAAAGTGTTCACTTCATTTTAGAGCTTTCACAAAAGATTGATGCTGATCTTTAGAAATCTAAGCAGCTAAGCTTAAAGTCAACTTAATGTTTATGTTGATGTTTACTGCACCCAGACTCAGCAACTAACGTAATTTCAATCGTGTGTGTCATGTCATTGCAGATTTAAAAAACAATTGACTTTAATATCAGGGCTGCACCAGTTTTGAAGAGTTTATTTTGTTAGGTCATTATGTATGACATTAATTTTGATTTTACATTTTTTTTCAGTAGGTTGCATCAAGAGGCTGGTTATCAGATTCCTCACTGGTCTTTGGATCATGTTGAAATCAGAGACAGGCATAAAAATTAATGATACCACACTTAAACTGCTGCCAAAATCTATAATAAAGAGAAAGGCCATGGCAGAACATTTTACATGGAGCAACAACTGAGTAGAAACATGATTTAACCAAAAATATAATTTCATCGTAAACATATCTACTGAGAAATAATCATCGATGTCAGGAGGACAACTGATACAAAGTCTGACATTTTCAAGCATGAGCCTCAGAAAACTGAACAAGTTTTGATAAAAGACACAAACAAGCTCTCATACCAAAGTCACTAAGCAGCATGAACTAGAGCTCAGACTCTAGTTWAAAAAAACATTCATATTACATAGTAAAACCCAAAGTACACAACACATCTCGGGACGCTACAACTCATTCACAACTTTTCAAACAGCAGGTTTGGTGAATGAACAGAAGGCGCTGTGCAGCCTCTGAGCAGACAGGAGCGATGAGGAGGCGTTTATCTCAGAGCGGGAGCAGGCAGCTTATGTTTGCATTACTTATGTAATCAGTTTCTTCCACCAGAAGGTTGGATTTCAAGGTACGACATTAATGTTTACATAGCAAGGATTCTCCTGCTAAGACTCGGTTGCATTTAGATCTGCAGTGTGTCAAAGAAAACTATGAGACGGCAATGAAATTTTACACACAAAGGAAGCAGAGCAGAGCTTTTCTTTCGGAGTGTGTGTGTGTGTGTGTGTGTGTGGGTGTGTGTGTGTGTGCAAATGCACTGGTCATTAACTGAGATTTAATTTCAAATTATCATGCTCAAATTATCCCATCAGATGACCCCATAGTTGTATGACTTAAAGGCAGCAAACCCAAACAGACGGGTGATTGGAACATAATTATAATCATCCTAAAAATAAGAACTGCATCATGTTGAATTATAGACAATTTATTTAATGTTCTCCTGGTTGTTCGTGCTGAAACGTAGAGTGAACGCCCTGATCACTCATACCCCCCCACCCCCCCACGCACACACACACACACACACACACACACCACCAGTCCTCATCTGATTCCATGCGACAGCTCAGTGACATGTTTTCAGTCCTCCTGTCACGTCTAAGAAT